TTCCCTCTTTGTGAAAAGTTACATTTTGATGAAGGAACCAGAACGAACTACATATGTAGAAAGAAGGCTAACAAATTTCGATCAGCACGAAAGAGCCCAAACAATTTTTATTAGCAACGCATTTGGCAAATTTTTATGGAGATTCGTTTTCCTTTGAACATGCAGAGTAATGTTTGTATTCAAAGTTTTGCAAAAAGACTTCAAGTAAATGATATTGGGAAGGGATTTGTCTCTCCTTTAAAATGTGGAAAACTGGACTAAGCAATCTCTCTTTCTATATGAACTAAGGAAATAGGTTCTTATTGTGACTAAATTTCACGTTAATTGATATTCTATATTCAATCAATGCATCGAAAATATAAGGATGTTTTATACTATACATCGAAAGTCATCGTTGCAATATTTGGATAAATTTTGTAAAAAAAAAAAACATCGATACGTTTTTTTTCTACTTACACCTTTAGGCTAGAGTACATACAAAGCATTTTCACATATAAATTCTTGATACAATAGAATATAAACCCAGGTTGGGCATGAAAAAATGTAGCTCCAGCATGGAATTTGCAGGTCTGTAGTTGTTGTAGCGGTTTACATACTTAACTCTGGTCTATTCTGCGCTAGTAACAAACAATTTTGCAACCGCTCACAAAAGTTACTGTTTCAGTCATCGGTAACGGTCAGAATAATTTGGGATTTAATATGTACATGGAAGGTGCAAATTAAAAGTTTGTAAATGCTTAAGAAGTAAGTTTGAAGCAAAAAACAAAACTGACGATCTAAACTATATTAGTATGGGACCAAGTCCGTTAAAAAATAAAATCGATTAAAAAACCTAAAGTTAAAACATTATTTTTTAAATTATTTATGTTATTTAAATTTTCCTGGTTATAGGGTGGTTATCAAATTATAAAATAACCAAACATATGATATGAAATTACACCTAATTTAGGATCAACATGAACTCATCAGATTAATTGAAGGGGTTAGAATCATACGAGTCTAAGTGACATTTTTGAGTTATACCCACATTTGTATAGTTAAGATAGTGTTTATGTGGTGACAAAGAGTACCATTCATTTGAATTAGTTAATTAACCTGCATTCATTTAAGCAAGAATCATTTCAAATGCATTTACCCAGAATTTACAATAAGTAATCAACTTTAACCTTAATTATCTCAGAAAAATTTCAGAACTACTTTTGATTTTAAGCCCTTCAATTAGATTTGATGAAATAGGTTGCAAGGGAATTTCTTTTATATATTGGGTGCTAAAGCGGGAGAAGATTCCCCCTTCGAATTAAGATTCCGTACTTTACTAATACACAGTGAATAAGATGCGGTTGCTGCCTCAGCATTGCAGTGTTTTTATACTTTGTTATTTATATGCTAAACAGTTTTAGAACAAAAAAAAAAAAACAAATTGCATTTAATTAAGGGTCCACTATAAGGGTATACGCATAAAAACTTAATTTGGGGTTGCGAATTCAAGAAAACTCAAAGTAACATATTCGTGTGAGAGGGGAGAGTGCAACCACCCACAATATGAAATATTATGAACGAGTTTCGAGTTTAATGCGAGTTGGCGCCAAAATATATGCAATATATATGTACGTACGTAGGACGTGACTTGCATGAATGTGGCTGCGCTGCTCTTGTTTGAATAAATGTGAATGAATTACACTTAGAATTCATGAAAATGCAATATGTCAACTCCATGGGGAGTAATTTCTCGACTTTATTGCATTTATTATATTTTTTATTGAAGAACCAAATGCCAAGTGTGGCGAAAAACAGCACGTCGAAATTAACTTACAAAATGGAGCATTGTATGTACATATGTACATATGTATCAACTAAGATATGTATCTACTTGCATACTCTTCGTAATTACATACAACTTTTAGTAAATATGTAACATTTTTGTTGTCCTTTGCTTACAAGCAGATAAGTGGTGCATTTTGCGACATAAATAAATTGCTAAACTTTATTACAACGAACAGAGTGCTATGAGGGCGAAGAGAAAGTTTCCTTGGCTATTAGACAAGGGTGTCAAATTTGGGTGTGCATCCGTTGTTGGCGTGGTAATATGAAAAGCAAACTTTGTATCTTCATGTCTATGTACATATATTAAGAAATTTAATACTGATAAATGAATTCGGTTAAAATAAGCATAATGGATGGGCAAAGTTTTTTGAAGTTCAAAAAAGGAAAATAAAACAAAAATTTTAAGTTTTTAATTAAATATTAAACCAAAAGAACTTTTAATGCCCAACGGAAATAATGCAAGGGAGTAAGGGGCTTCGAGTCATTCGAAAGCATGGCAATTTGTAAAAAAACCGGTTCACCATTCAAGTTTAGTCAAGAATAAAACGGATAAACCGGTTTTATTTTACATATTTCTCTATAGTCACACTTACTGTTAGTCAAAAATCATGACAAAATTAAAATATGACTGCTAAAAATTATGTCGCCAAACAATCCTTTGTAGGGAATAACTCGTGCGTGTAGAACTGGCAGTCTTGTGAATTAGAGTATACCATCCGCTGACCCAGACCGACTACACAAATATAAACTATCTGTTATAGACAGATCATTCATCGAGAATCAATCAAAATATTCGTCAACTCCCAGCCCTTGAATTCCAACACCGGATATCAACGCCCCCGATCGCAGACGAAGTGCTCGAGTTGCTTCGTGGGGCTCGCGATACATTCGACACAGCTCCGTTCGGTATATTGTAGCAGGTTGAACTGATTTCTCGAACTTGGATAAGATGCCTCGACGACACTAACCAACTCTTCACATGCCCACTCACATCGGATCTGCACTTTTCCTAAGCCTGCTGTTAGATAAGAATGAAGACAACATGTAGCCGATTCGCTGATTTAGACAGAGTTTAATAAGCTGCTACAACAAAAACAAGAGTGAACGATTTTCGTTCGGTTTTCCATTTTAAGAAATTTTCTGGAAAGTTTTCCGGTACTCAGACATAAAACTAATAAACATTTGGTAGTACTATTTCCAATAAATAAATATTTAGAATTTTTAGATTCTTGTATATAAATAAAGCAAGTGAAAACCCGGTTACTTGGCATTCGAAAAATCAAGATATCAAAAAAAAGCGTCTAAAAATATTAAAAAAAAAAACAGTGGAAATCTGTTTGGAACAACTGAGACAATCACAACAATATTTACATATATCGACCCCTTTGCGCAAAATTATCGTCTATTATATTTTTTACAAAATTTTTTGATGCAACTTTGTGTTCCCAATAGCTACCCCAAAAGTTGACTGCAAATTTTATGGTATGTGACAATGATTTTTTTCTTGTGGGCGAAATTATCATATGGGTTAAGAAATTAGAATGTAGAGACCTTTCTACTGAAAAATCTTGCGTTTAGTTATATGTATTTCTCAGCAAATCTAATCTTTGGTATTGATGGTGCTAGCCAAAGCAGAGAAAAATACAAAAAACACTTTCCTGTAAAATTTGGTTTTTGCAACATACGATAATTTTGCGCAAAGGGGTCGATACGTATATATATGTACGTATGGATATACAACGATATTGCCTAAAATTTGTATTTATTATTATTTATGTACATAACTTAATCTGGAATAGCGAATAATAAATAAATGCTATTATTAAACATGAAGTATATGCATTAGGGTGCATCACCAAAAAAAGATGCAGGTTTTCAACCAGAATTATAAAATTTTTAGGGGTATTCATCTAAGCGCGTAAATCTACTTACTTAATTTTGCATGGGAAAGTGGTTTATTTAGGTATTTCATGAAAAGATTTATTTGAGCGGGACTGATTGTAAAGTACCTCCGAAAATCTCGTTACTTCGAATTCGTTGATAAAATATTTAAACATGTGCTCATCTTAGGCGGTTTTTTAGAAAAAAATATTTTTGAAAAACTAATTTTATTTCTAAAAAAAACTCGATTTTTGAAGGTATTTTCAAATAATATTTAATAATAATAATATTTTTCCGAAATATTTTGGCGGATGTCTTAAAATATACTAAATTTTATAATTAACATGGAAAACTTTTTTGGTGAAGAGTGATGCACCCTAATTTACACACTCAAAGCGTATAAAAAATAAGCTAAGCTGTAAATAAATATTTTACGTATTATGAATGTAAAAACGTTTACATTTGCTACTTTTATTTTGTTCGTATTAATGTAAGTATGTTTTCAGTTAAAAACAACAACCACCACAAACAAAAACACGTGTACTTTTAGGAAAATTTTTTAACGTTTCTCTTACCAGTAGAATGTCAGCAACAAGTGCCCAATTTAGATTCAAACACAATTGACCGACGAACATTAAAACATACGAAGCTATGACGTATTTTGTGACAAGCAGCATTGCGGCAGCAAGGAAAAGCGAGCTAAAAAATATTCCATAGGCACACACCAAGGGATCAGCGTTATTTTTGTAACTGGCAACCGCACGCGACAAAACTGGACCGAGCGGTACACCAATTAGACCAGCTACCATTGTAATTATTCCAAATCGCAAAGAAACGCTGTTGAGTTTTATTGTTTTTCGAAAAATGCATATTCATTCATGATTTTTGTGCGAATTTAAAGTTGATAAATTTTGTTCAGAGTTATAGGGGGGAGACAAAAAAAAAACAAAGAAAATAGAAAGAAAACAAATTTAGTATCCAGTAGAAAGCATTTAAAAAAGAAAATTCCAGTAAACTAAAAAACGCGTTAAAAAAAAAATCTATACAATGCCGTTGACATAGCTAACAGTCGTGGCAATTAGCGATCGTACAAGCTGCTTATACACTTTTGGTGGTTTGTAGCGCGCGCAGCGGAGCAGACAGTGGCGTTGAAATTTGAAATTTTGGTTTTTTTACTAGCTTTTTTATGCTATGGTATTTTTTTTTTTAATTGCTGCTTTTAGTTGCTGATGATTGCACTTCGCCTTTTTTCTATTCATTGATTTGTGTTTCTTTTTTCGAATCAGTTTTCTTACCAGCAAAATATCAGCAACAATCGACCAGCATAAATTCAGCGTCACCTGTGCCAAAAAGACGAACAAGAAGCAAAACGAGGTTGTGGTTTGCGGTGTCACCAGCGACAAGTAGACCATGGGCGCTGATATGAGTAGACCGAAGGCGCATATGTATGGATCACAGCCCTCGTGATGTGGTCGTAGACGCTGTGCGAGCAGCGAACCCAAGGGTACACCAATTAGACCAGCTATCATTGCAATGATGCCAAACTTGTACGATACGCTAGTTTTTGTTTTTTTTTTGTTTTGTAAATAGGATTTACATACGAATGTATGGATGTGTCAATTTTAAAATTTCTATAATCTATTCATATGTGCTAAATTTTATGATTTTTTTTTTCGGAAATGCAAAATTTTGTTTCTAAATTCCATTTACTTACTCATTCAGTGACAGCTCCTCATTGCCTGGCTGCATTTTAATGCCAAGATAAATAAATTTAGGTCCCCACCAAGCCAAAGCGCCTGTTACGAAGGCAACGCATGTGAAACCGGCTGTCGAAAGCATAAACGAATGATTCTTCACCAAATCTTTTATATCTTCAGTGTAGCTGGTAGGTTCCAAGTTGTGTGAGCCTTCACTCTCACCGCGTACGGGCTCTTTGGTTAACAGTATCAATGCGACAGCGAAAATGCCCAGCATGGGTGTGACACGCAGCGCCCAACGCCAGTCATTGGCCAAACGTGCCGTCTCTGAGCCGACAATGTAACTGTAAAGAAAATGGGGGAATATTATGTATTTTGAATAGTAATTATAAATATGTACATTGTCAAACTATTACATAAAATCAAGCGTTTTTCGTCGCACTAAGCCGGCCGGGCCGAGGCTTTCTAAAAGCCCGTTTTGGTGATACTAACTTGAGTGGCAAAACTTTTCCGACAATTCGTTCTAATGAATGCAATAATGTATCGATCGTCTTGGAGAAATCCCATTTTCACTGCTTTGTTCATAGCAGCATAGCTTGTTGAAAAAATAGGGTTATGTTTAAGATATCCGCCCTCAAGATGAGTAGGCGAACCAGGATTTCTATATCTACCACATTTTTTAATTCGTCTGTCCCACGTAAGGTAAGACTATATGCCGAATTCCAGCGGAGTCTAAGCGCATTTACAATTATTGGCCGCAGCTTATGTGACAAACGTACACCGTGGAAAATTTTATATGGGAGTACGGAATTCATTAATAACTGCAGTAAAATTTAAGGTATTCCAATAAAACATAGAGAATAAGTATTCTATTAACTTATCATGAATCGATAGTGTAGAAAATTGACAATAACCACGTCCACTTCTCATATACATAACTTTATTTTTCAGAGATATGAAAACTAAGATATTTTAATAACCAATGAATCCAACTCACTCTAAATGTGTATGTATGTATTAAAAATAAGCTCCTGGCGAGAAATAAGATTACATACAGGGTTGCCACTGATGAAAAAAATACTTACCATCTACTTGAAAAAATTATACCAAATCTGGAAAATATCTACCATTGACATTTGTTGATTATTTTAATAAAAACCATTGCTTTGTCCTATTTTTTTTAGTTATTTCCATAAAAATTAAAATTTTCACTAAGGAACCTTTTGTTTAACTAGTAACATGGTATTAAGTATATAGCTTGAAATAAATTTAGAAAAATTTCAAAAAATTTTGTCTAAATATCAAACTTGTTACCCTGAATTTTTAGAACAATTTTGGGTATGCAGTTTTACAGCCCATAGAGTTTTAGTATAACCAATTGCCATTTATAGAAACTGGCGTTGATATATTTAGCGAACAATCATTGTGTGTAGTTACATACCTGTCAATTTTTTTTTCTTTTTATTAAAAGAACCATTTAAAATATTTAGGCAATCATAAGCTCAGGATTTTTGCAAAATGAGTTTTAAGTATGCACATATGTATGAATATAAAAAAGTGCGCATTAAAGCGTGCGGAAATTAATGCAACAGTACTCTGTTTTCGAAAGAAATTTATAATATAAAGATATCTACGAAAAATAAACCGAGAATGAAAAGTTTTATTTATTTTTCAAAGACAATACTTTAACAAAAATCTACCAAAATGAACAAAAATTTACCTTTTTACCAACCCAAATTTTTTCTACCAATTTTGGTAATAATTTACCAAAGTGGCAATCCTGATTATATACTATAATTTTTTGGCATGGGCCTGTCACCGCAAACTTACGATAAAAAATTCGTCGATTAATTCCGCACAAGAAATACTAAGAGTAACCTTGATTTCGGCAGAGATTACATTTCTACCAATTTTAAGAAGATATCATATGAACACAAGAAGATAACATCTTTTATGGATTTTTTTTAATGAAATCAACTTCTAAGAAAAAAACATTTTTTCAATTAAAATATAAATCGATATCTGTTTTAAGAAAAGAAAAAAACAACAACAAATTGCCATCATTTATTTTTCTCTTTTGTTTCACCCTCTATCTTCCTATTTTCATAAGGCAAGAAACAACTCAACTACCCCAAGGAGGTAGTACATACCGTAAATTAACGAATATCTGACTGATTCAAAAGAATGAGGTCAATTATTTTAGAAAATTGTAACGTCAGTCGGAGGAAATGTAAAACGTCATTTGTAAAGCTGAAGGCTTTTTCCAAACTAAGGAAACAAGACCTCCACGAAATAAAAATACATAATGTTTCATGAAAAATAATAGAACTAAAAGTGGAAAGTTGTACTCAAAAATGGGATGTGGTCGAGCAAAATCCTTTTCGAATTTAACTAAGGCTCGGGAATAGTATGATTGAAGCCCGAAAATAACTCAAGGGAACAGAGTTAGAAATACTTTGACCATTACTTATTTTCAAGATGGAGGCGATTCCACAACTCCTTGGTCCCGAAGTGAAATTTTACATTTTTTGTTGCTTCGCAGTATTCAAAATGAATTGGCCACTATTAAAGAAAAGCGGCAGGTTAGCAATTTTACAACCAACAACACCAACGAAAATTTTAGACTTTTCATAATTTGGTACTTCGTTGTTTGCCGATATTTGCAGCCAAACACCGTTTAGTATTGATCCCGAAGCTTTAAGGGATCATCAGCGATAAAAACCTAACAGCGGGAGTGGTGGGAACCACTTTATATCACTTTCTTTATTGAAAATTGCGAGAACATATATTGTATAAAAACCTAACGGGGGTGAGTGGAGGGAAACATTTTATATTACTTTATTTATTGAAAATTGTGAGTGAATATGTATTGTTTTTTTTTCAAGAGGGATATTATCACCAAACAAAAAACTGGCATGCACTTTTAATGGCATTCAACACGGTATAGTATGCCCCTTTATATAACGTATGTAAATAAAAGTTATAGACTAGTGTTCAAATTACCTACCATTTAATGGTTCAAAACATTTACATATCGCAAATTTAATTGCTTGTAGATCTCACAGATTAAACGCAATTAATACAAAAACAGGTAGTTATAACAGTAGTTTTTTAGTTAATGTATATAATCATCAAGAAAATAATATTTCCATTAAGTGGATGTAAGCCCTATGAATTGATTTATGCAAAAAAAAAAAATCGCGCAACCATTTCTTTGAGTTGATCGCACTTTAGACCTAGGTGTGCGATATTATGTTTATTGAAATTCTATGGGTAAATTCTTAATTATTCTTATTAGACAGAAGGATTTAGAGTGTTAATTTTTTAAGTTGATTCGCATCTAGAAAATCTTCGGAAGTTCATATTAATTCTGCTCATTTCCCATATATATGTATTCTAAGCAGTATAACTTCAAAATGTCTTAACTTCGATTGCATATATGTAATTCCAAGCTACAGGACCGGCCTTAGAAGCAACGACGCCTGGGGCGTAAATGGAACGAGGTACATCGACTTTATTTCGTCTATGAATATACTTCACAACTAGCACGAATAAGACGATGCTTTCCCAACGGTTGAACAATTTGTACAGAACAATGAGGAAACCACATATCGAAAATATTGCCGTCGTGCTATAAAATACCACTGTATCACTTCGCCACCTTCGTAGGAAGAGTTTCTTGTATTGTGGCGACGGAAAATGTATATATATTTTTCATTTAAATCAGCATTAAAAGCTTTGTTAACGCTAAACTCGGCTTTTGATAGGCTAGGCTCCCCTGAACCGTTTTTATTTTTAGTCTATATTCGTTTTAATTGGAAGCCTAAACATTTCGGTACCGAGTACCGAAGGTATTGGATACTTTTTAAATCGGTGCCGAGTATCGATCAATACATAAAGCTATCGACGCAGCACATCACTACTAGCAAAGTCAATAAAATGAGTAGTCCACTTGCAAACAGCGTTATGCTATTTTATAATAGTAAGCCATAAATTTAAAAAAAAAACGTCTACAACAACAATCTGGGGGCACTTGCTAAATCGACTTATCTTAAATTTCGTAAATGAACACATTCTTCTTTTGCGAGATGAGTTGTCAAACGACGAGTCAGTTCCAAAATGTTCAGCAAGTTGTTTGAAATTCGCTGATGATCTGGCGATGTGCTGTCTACTTCGAAGTGGGATAGGGAAAATTTAAAAAAAAAACCTAAACCTACTACAAACACAAACTGCAATTTCATAACCAACCCTCTCGCGGGCTTGATTATTTTGTTTGTATTTGTTGTAAAGTGCTGGCTGGCCAACTCTAATGTTTTATGGCGTGGGCATGTCTAATATATCGAGCCCTAACCGCCAAAACAACGTAAGCGACATTTTTTTCAAAATTTTCTTTTTGATGCAGAAATATTCCTAGAGCATCTAGATGCATTTCTGCATCAAAAATAAAATTTTGAAAAAAATGTCGCTTACGTTATTTTGGCGGTTAGGGCTCGATATGGCCTTGCAGCGAATATAAATTTTCTGAATTTAGTTTACTGACTAGATATATATATATAAACCGCGTAAGTCCGAAGGTAATTTTAGATTTTGACATTTGAAAAATTTATGCAATAAAAAAATTAAACGCCACCTCAAAATTTTGCGCCCCCACCCCGAATTTGACGCCCAAGGCGGCCACTCCGCTCGTCCGTCCTAAAACCGGCCCTGCCAAGCTAAAGTAATGCAATACAGTGTACATAAATGTTTATTGACCTAACTAGTTAATTAGCGCAAACGCCATCAATAACAAATTATAGTTAATTAATGGAACAATGGGGTATAGTCATTGCGCTGGGTATGCAGTTACAGTTGCAT